AGGGAGTGGGAGATAGAGGGAGAGAGAGAGAGAGAGACTCATCCCTCCTCTCTCTCTCTCTCTCTCTCTCTGTGTGTGTGTGTGTGTGTGGTGTGTTTTGATGAGGGCTCCACTATGGTGGAGCCCAGGCTGACTTTGAACTGAAGATCCCCCTGACTTAGCCCACTGGTACTGGATGGGTGTGCACCACCATGCCCATGCCCAACAAATAAGAGAAGTCCCACTAGGGCTGATTTAATTTTTAATACAGTACTAGAAAGGAGCATGACTTGAATTTAGTAAACTAAGCAAAATCAGTATTTTTTTTTTTTTTTTGGTTTTTCGAGACAGGGTTTCTCTGTGGCTTTGGAGCCTATCCTGGAACTAGCTCTTGTAGACCATGCTGGTATCGAACTCACAGAGATCCGCCTGCCTCTGCCTCTCGAGTGCTGGGATTAAAGGCATGCGCCACCACCGCCCGGCTCAAAATCAGTATTTATAATAGGTTTTCTTAGAATTTTTTTCACTGTAATAGTCAAGTGATATTAGTATTTGAAAATTTAGAACTCATTTTCTTCTAAGAAGGAAAAACTTTATAAAAGAATATTGAGTTTTATCAATATAGTGTAAGACTGTAAATAAATAATATGACTTGTCACTGAACCCTATGTAACATTAATAAGCCAATATAAATTTTATTTTCATGTTAAGAACTCTTTCGAAAGCATTCACTCTACTTTTGTTTAATAGCCCTTAAAAACCTAGATGCAATAGCATATAAGACCTTTTGAAAATTGACAACAGTGACCTACAGGACATCACTGAGTATCTGTACTTGTAAAACACGTCTGCAATCAGAAAGCTGTTAGGTGTGGGGCATTTGGAAGGAGCTGGGGTGAAGGGTACTAGCTGTGACAACACATCCCCAGTAAAGGGAGTATAATCAGGGGCAGAGAATGAAGTTTCATGTGGCCTTGAGTGCTAATGTTTTCTTAGAAGCTGAACATGTTTTTAAGAGAATCTTCTGTGGGCAATTAAAAAAACAAAACAAAAAGCCACAAAAACCAAATGTGCTAATAACCATGTATGAAACTTGCATTAAAAAGTAAAAACACAGGCTAACACACTTAAGCTTGCTCCTCACCCAGGCTGCTTATCAAGAGCCCCTCCCTTGTGTTGCAACGCTCAGATACAAGGTGACCAAGACACAAACACCTAGAGAACATCCCAAGTATGGCATGGTGTTTGGGATGATTGAAAATTTGGTGGCACGCCTGCCTCAAGCTCAATGCCTCACTTTGGGAGTGTTAGTCTCTATTCTGATGGATTCAGTCAGGAGACCAAGGCGGTCCTGATTTATCTTATTTCCATGCTCCTTTGGATTAGATACCATACTTTCATTTTCATGCCTTAAAACAAAAACCAAACCAAACAAAAAAGCCTGCTGGCCTTGGCCAGAAAAAAAAAAAAAAAGAAAGAAAAGAAAACAGAAACATGCAACCATTTCCTCGCCATGTCAATGGCAGAGCCTTCACAAAGCTGTAGGATCCTTTCCTTGACGATTATCACACAGCTCTGGGCCCCAGCAGAAGGCTTGTCAACAGACTCTATTTACACCCTTGAGGAAAAACCCTCCTGCTTTTTTACACTTCCGTACAAAATAAGTTTGCAAAGAGGGGACATCTGGCAGTGCTTCCAAAGCACACTGTCTGGTGCTGTTGATAACACAATTATTTGTTTTGATCATGCAGCATCTAGAATGCTCTTGTTCAGGAATACCATCCTGCCCCTCCAAATGTATTTATCTCTGGTGCAGATGTAATTCATGCCATCCCCTCCCACCCCCCAGTGTTCAACCTTTCTCCTGCCAGAAGTTCCCAATCTATTTAGAATCCTGTTGTTCAAAGACATCAGCTTTACTTGGCACGCCTATGAAATGCCTTTCATTCAAATAAAAGGATGTTGGCTGAGTGACATGAATATGCTGGTCAGAATGAGAAACTCACTAGAATCCATTACATGTGTTTAATGGGGAACAGCTACATACTGTTTAGATAACTAATATATAGATTACAAACGAGTATCCTCAAGATTAATTCAAAAAAATCTGTAGCCCTACTATATATGGATGACACATTAGTGGAGAAAGAAATCAGAGAAACATCACCCTTTACAATTGCCACAAACAACATAAAATACCTTGGGTTTGCACTAACCAAAAATGTGAAAGACCTGTACCATAACAATTTTGAGTCTCTAAAGAAAAAAATTAAAAAAGATACAAGAAACTGGAAAGATCTCCCATGCTCTTGGATAGGTAGGATCAACATAGTAAAAATGGCAATCCTGCCAAAAGCAATCTAAAGATTCAACGCAATGCCCATCAAAATCCCAACACAATTCTTCAGACCTTGAAAAAACAATTCTGAACTTTACATGGAGAAACAAAAGACCCAGGATAGCCAAAACAACTCTGTACAATAGAGGAACTTCTGGAGGCATCACCACCCCTGACTTCAAGCTCTATTACAGAGCTATAGTCCTAACAGCCTGCAGAAATCATTATTCACATCAAACAATTCTTGAGACATGGACAGTATTTTGACCTTGGGGTCTTCCTTTTTGTAGTTTATGTTCACATTCAGGGTTTATGACATCATCATCCCAATGCATTTTTGGAATCTTAACTTGGCTACTGTGTAAGACTGCTCATCTTTGCTTTTGATTAATTCTCCATCCTTATAAGACCAGGGGATTTTCAATAACATAGAGAACACATATTTTTAAAATAAGAGCTCTTCATTACAGTATATTAAATTAGTGCAATATATTCAGGATTTGTTTGCAAACTGTAATTTTCAAACAGTCTGTTTCTATTTCTTTCGTCTCCTCCCCTTTTCTTCCCTTTTCTCCCCTTCTATTTCCTATTCCACTTGTTTTTCTCTCTCATTATTCCCCACCTTAGTCTTTGTTTCATAAATGTACAATTATTGGACCCCGAGACTCAGTTTATTATCATATCTAAGGACTGCCCATAAATCAAAACAACTCTGAGATACCATCTTATTCCTGTCAGAATGGCTAAAATCCAAAACACTAATGACAGTTCATGCTGGAGAGGATGTGGAGAAAGGCGAACACTCCTCCACTGCTGGTGGGAGTGCCAACCTGTACAGCCACTTTGGAAATCAGTATGGCTACTCCTCAAGAAAATGTGAATCAGTCTACCCCAAGATCCAGCAATTCCACTCCTAGGCATATACCCAAAAGAAGCATATTCATACAACAAGGACATCTGTTCAATGATGTTCATAGCAGCACTATTTGTAATAGCCAGAAACTGGAAGCAGCCTAGATGTCTGTCTTCTGAAGAATGGATAGAGAAAATGTGGTACATTTACACAATGGAGCACTACTCAGCAGAAAAAAAAAAACTATGGAATCTTGAAATTTGCAGGAAAATGGATGGAACTAGAAGAAACCATTTTGAGTGAGGTAACCCAATCACAAAAAGACAAACATGGCATGTACTCACTCAAATGTGGATTTTAGACATAGAGTAAAGGATTATCAGCCTACAATCCACACTGCCAGAGAAACTAGTAAACAAGGAGGACCCTAAAAGAGAAAAACATTGTCCCCTGAAGAAGGGGAAAGGGTCAAGATCCCCTGAGCAAATTGAGAGCATGGGAAGAGGGGACAGGGAGCTACAAGAATGAGAAGGGAAGAAGAGGAAGGATGCAGAGGCCATGAGGAAGCAGAAAGGTTGAGTCAGGTGAAGAATAGAAAAAAGGGTGTGTGATAGGTAGGGTTTTAGTTGGAGGGGTGGTAGGGCAGAAAGGGAGGGAGAAGGGAACTGGGATTGTCATGTAAATCAATCTTGTTTCTAATTCAAATAAAAAATGATAAAAAATGAGTATTTTTTTTTTTTTGGTCAGAGTCAGATTCAATAACTCACAAATCTCCCAAATAAAAACTCTGTTCATATGAAAGTCATACTTTACCTAAAACATCTCCCAAATAAAAAGGCACCCGAGGGACAAATCCCATTGTTGCTCCTTTTATTTTTCTTTATAGTAAAAATTGGGGGGGGGAATCAATGTGGCTCAATGTCTCTAAATTGTGTTCTTGATCACATCTGAACAGAGTCTCAGGAACAGCAGATATGGCGAGGCCACTGTGAAGTTCATCAAAACCAGACAATGGAGCAGGTGAGAGTCCTCCCTGGAGACATTTATAAAGTCCACACGATGCCTATTATTTGGGCTGAGTTCCATGCATGAGGTGTTTCCCACAGTACGGCTGAGAGTAGAACCTCAGCCACACACTTTGGAAACAGACTCTACCCATGGTCTACCCGGGAATGTAGTAAAAGGAAAGAGATTGTATTACAGAGGCATAAATAAGATAAAAATGCATTTACTCACTGTGTTAAAATTTGGAAAGAGCCCGACAGCAGAGCTACTGTCCACTGGAAAAGACATAAATGGTTTGATGTCCAGCGAAGGCTGCATCATCAGGGTGGGTGTGCGCACGAGAGCAGGAAGGGTTGTAGTGTGACATGCACTGCCTGCCGAGAACAAAACAAAACCAATTCAGTCTCTCACTCACATCATTTCCCTCCCAGGCACTCAGGGCCAATGCAAGGCTGCTGAGCTGTGACCTGCAAACACAAGAGTCACAGAAGCTAGCACCTGGCAAATACTGTCAAGAAGAGCTCTTCATGGACTGATACACATGCAGAATACTTCCCTGTGCGTCAGCCAAGGGCTTCTCAGGGTCAGGTGACACACTGTCCCCAGGTTCCACCAGCAGGTGTGGCATAATGCCAACGTCCTGGTGTCCAACCCTCCTGGCATCATTGAGAACCCACAAATCCACAAACTATTAGTGAATCAAGGAGGGACCTCTCAAGATGTTCTTTACTATTGGGATCCAGCGGCAAGTTTTATGCAAATTAGAGATAATTACTGTTTTTTTTTATGAGGAAGGAAAACTTGGACTTTGGCAGTTATTGGCTATAGTTATGACTCAATTTCTTGTCTTAAAAATGATCACAAAATTTTCCTTACTCTAGGGAAAAGAGGAGGTTTGGATGTGGGATGGCTAGAGAACACAGGGAGGTAGGTTATGGTCTGGCTGTAGACAGGGAGTTTGGAGACAGGAACTCATTGTTTTGTCTTAATTTTTACACCTAATAAACTTGTGTTCTTTGGGCACCCGTCCCCTTGAATTAGCTGTTCCTTCCTTTGGTATCTGATTTAATGCAGGACTGGGTGATTTAGAATAATGTTGGCATTCTTCCTGATCATTAGCTGTCACAGATATATTTGTTGGCCTGGTTGTCTCTCTGGGATGCTTGTGTATGTGTGTGTATGCGTGTGTGTGTGCACGTGCACTCACATGCCTGTTTGTGCAGGTGTATATGCAAATGTGTACTCACTCATGTTGAGACCAGAAGTCAGCGTCAGGTGTCATTTCTTAGCAACCCACCACCTTGTTTTCTGAGTCAGGGTGTTTCATTAGGGCTTTGCAGATCTGGTAGGCTGGTGAACTAGTGTGGCCCAAGGAATCTTGCTGTCTCTGCCTCCTCCTCCTCCTCCTCCTCCTCCTCCTCTTCCTCCTCTTCCTCCTCTTCCCCCCTCCTCCTCCAGGAGCTAAGACTGCAAGATTTATTTCCCAGGGAGTACTACCCTGGCTGCCTTTCATGTGGGTGTGAGGATCAAATGCAGGTCCTCATGGTTTTATGGCTAGCACTGTGTCAACTGAGCTACTGCGTACACAGGCCTGTGTGTGTGTGTATGTATGTATGTATGTATGTATGTATGTATGTATGTATGTATGTATGTATGCTAATCACATATCAGATAATTCACCCACTTAAACTGTAAAGTCAACAGTTTTTCCTTTTATTGGCACATTCAGAGTGGTAGACGAACATCATCTTCACATGTAGAACATTTTCATGACTTAAGCTCTACACGTAGCAGCAGTCCCTCTTCCCGTTTCTCCCAGCATCCCTAGCTCCTGACAACCACCAATCAGTTTTCTATGTATATAGATTTAACTGTCTGCAACATACCGTTTAAATAACACCTTACATGTCTTTTGTGACTGCCTTCACTTGCTTGAGATTAATGCTTTGGGGGTTTACTCATACTGCAGCATGCATTAGGGTGGGGTGCCTTTTCAAGACTGACTGCTGGTCTACTTCGGGAACATCCCACATTTTTCATATTCCTTTATCAGCTCATGAGCATTTGGATGAGTTGAACTTTGGGGACACTCTGAAGAGGGCTGAGGCTTCCTTCATCACCATCAACAGCACAGGAGGACTCATTTCTCCCTGGCCTGCCTATCTTGGATCACACAGTAACTCTTCACACCTAGAATCCCTCACTTGCTTCAAGGAGAAAGGAGGAGTCTGAGCAAACATCCCAACTATTAAAGTGTCCACCAGACTCTTACAGTGTCCCCAAATCACTGAAGTTCCTGCCTCAGTGATAACTTGTTTTGGTAATGAGGTTCCAAAGAAACTGGTGGCATGTTGTCAATCAGTTGTGGATAGTATTGGCAATAGTGTTTAACAGGGTGGCAAAGCTCATTTACACTGATCATTTTAAAAATGTATTTAAAAAGGAAAAGAAATAAGAGAGAAAAAGGCACCTGAAGTATTGTCTACAATAGTCATTCAGTTCACCCATGGCCATTAGAAAATAAATAGGAGGGCTCAGTACACAAAATGAGCCAAGAGTACAGACAGAACAGTGATTTTCTTTCCCTGTTACTCAATTAAATAATCTGTTTTGGCCTGGTATGCGTACACCACTGGCATTACTCTCCTAATCAGGTAATGCTATCCCCATTGCTAACTTCAAGCTTGAAGATCCAAAACGTTGTATTACATCATTGCATCAAATGTCACAGAGGCATACCTGAAAGCATTTATTTTAAAATCCTAACTAAATTGAAAGCTAGAGAAAAATGGCCTTTAATTAATTTATCATCATAATTATTAGAATTCTAAAGTACAAAGAGTAAGTAGGTAGTATTAATCTAAGTTGCCTAAAGAACAAACAACATTTTTGTGACCTGTTTTGTGGCTTTTGGTCTCTGAAAGGGAATCCAAGCTCCATCTCTAAGGCCTCAATGGTGACTGTGATAACAGTGTGTAATACAGAGGCCCCCAGGGCCTGGTAAGAGTCACTCTATTCTAACCAACTCAAATCAAACAGAATGCAAGGGGAAACTCACTAACAGATTGCTCCATCAATGAAGGTCAGAATGTTCTGCAATCCTCCTTACCCAATCACATCTCTATGCTAATAGACAGGAGGTTGGAGAACTACTTAGCTTCCACCATTCATTAGCATAAAAACTTTGCAGCTGTTTACCATTTCATTAGCATTTTAATGACACACAATTTGCCATGTTAAACACAGATTGTTTTAAAGTACTGATGGATCTTCTGAACAAACCATGCTTCCATCAATACCTTCACCCCAGTCTGCTGTTGTCTGTTTTTTAAGCTTCACCAAGACTGGCTGCTTGCACAGAAGCTTTAGCAGCCCGAAATAAAAGACAAAACACAAAGCGATTTTTTTTTTTTTCTGGTTGGAAGTTATTCACTCTTTGATCCTTTGTTACTTTATTCCAGATTTTGCTATTGCTGCTGGCAAGCCTTTCTTGTCACCTTTGGGTGCCTGAAAGTCAGTGAGAGTTGTGAGCTGAAATTTGGCTAAAATGCATTGTGCTCTGCAAGAAAATGTTCAATTTCTCTAAGAGTCAAAGACTGTCTGAGATAGATGATTGGATGGATAGATAGATAGATAGATAGATAGATAGATAGATAGATAGAGAGATGATAGGGGTTAATGATGTAATAGTGAGCATTTCTGTGTGAAAGTGCCCCCCTTTACACTGCTGTTTTCATGAGACAGAACAAGAAAGCAAACTTGGGGATGTTATTAAGTATGTTATTAAGAGGATGTTATTAAGTAAAGTGCAGTTTATTGAGATAAAAAGAGTACTTCAGCTTAGATTGAAATGGAAATGCATGGGTGCACCCCTAAGGCAAAGTGGACGTGGCCTACAGGTGAAGGGTGTCACCAACTTTTGGTATTCTGCAATATCTGAGACTCTAAAGGGCATGTATGTGTGTGATAAATCTGACATGTACATTTGAGTGTGGGCAGGCTGCACACAGAGGGCAGAGGAGGGGGACAGGTATCCTCTTCTGTCACCTTCTGCCTCACTGCTTTCTGAGGTAGGATCTCTCACTGAATCTGAACGATCTATGCTAGGCAGTCAACAAGCTCCAGGCATTCTTCTGTCTCTGTACCCCAACGGCTTCCAACATTGGGGTTACAGGCACACTGTACCTTGAGGAACTCTTCTATAGGCATTGAGACCCAAATTCAGCAAGCATCCACAGACTTGGTTGTTTGTTTTTAATTACTAACTGTAAATGTTAGTTTTTGTCAACTTGACACAAACTAGAGTCACCTAAGAAGAGGGAATCTTAGTTGAGGAACTGCCTCCATCAGACTGGCCTGTAGGCCTATTTCTGGGGCTTTTACTTGATTAATGATTGATGGGGGAGGGCCCATCCACTGTGGGCAGTGCCTTCTCTGGGCAGGTGATCCTAGACCAAACAAGCCATGGAAGTAAGCCAGTATTCAAGGTTACTCTAGAGTCTCTGCTATAGTTTCTGCCTCAATTATCCTGATGGTAGACTGTAACCTGTAAGATGAAACAAGCCCTTTCTTTCCTCAAGCCGATTTGGTCAGTATTTTATCACAGTAATACAATGTAATCTAGGACACTTAACTCTTTTAAGCCAGTGTGTAAAGTGCTCAGTTTCATATAAATGAATGAAGTCAAAATAGTGTTTCACCTTATTTGATGGGGCTTTTTATATCAGATGTATTTATCAAACTTACTGTTAAATGAAAAAAATGAAACAGACACACACACATATTTCTCTGGTTCCGGTGAATTCTTTTTGTGTGTGTGTCAGGGAGAACTTTCCTTAAAGAAGAGAGTGTAAAGAAGGAAGAGGAAGTGGGTGAGGGGGGAGGAAGAGGGAGGAGCAGTGGCTGGCTTCATGTTCAAGGTCCAGGAGGAGAGACAAGGTCAGGGAGACCTTTATTCCATGTTTATAAGGCCTTCCAATTGTTGGTTATTCACCATGCTCAGCATGGCAAGGTACCCTACTTTGGGGGTACAGTTTATCAACTCACCATTCTCAGCATGGCAAAGCATTCTACTTTGGGGGCACAGTTACAGTTTACTGAGTCCCAACAAATAGCATTTACATTTATCTATCCTGAAGCAAGTATTACGTGAAAGACTCACCACTGTGATCATAAAAAAAATCCTATTATTTCAGCCAACTGCCTCTGTAACATAATAGGTACCTTATCATGTCAATGGATTATGTCATAATCCATCACAATGAAAGCTCATTTGAGGGCCAAGTGACACTTGGAATTATTGCCTTAGTCTCTGACCTTTAGAAATGTGATCTTGAAGGCCCTTTTAGGTTATAATCCCAAGGCTTCCTGGTGC